CAATAACCCCACGTCTATGCTTTCTGCCAAGAGTAAAACACTTCCTGCAAGCTGTGTTTTATTTATTTACATGGACGTTGCTACAGTTGAAATCTCAGGTGCAGCTTGTGTGTCTGAGCATGGAGAACATCCTCCATCTTTAAGCAAAACAAGGTATAGACGTAATTGACCCGTGCACCAGGTTTCCTGCTGGAAGTCAAGGTTCTGCACTGATGTAAAACCTGTGGCACTCCGTAATCATGTCCATACACAGCCAGGGTTTAACTACACTCTGGAGGGGAAGACAGAGGGCTTAAGTGGGTTTTATTTCAAGGTTCTCTTTCAGGGAAAATTGGCAGCACAGGCCTGAACTCAGATTCTCCTCATACTACGAGCAAAACGTTTGGTTTGAATTATTTAGAAGTCGACTTGTTGATTGTAGCTTTAAATAACATTTTTACTTACCATGATAAAGCTAAAGAATTTTTAACTGTGTGACACGCTAACCTGTGCTTAGATTCATCCCATCAGCAGGCAGTGAATCAAATTGAATTCATAATTGCTCACAAACTTAACCTGATAGTCTGAAATGGCTGCTGTCAAATCAGTGCTCAGCTCTGACCTGTGCAAAAGTCTCCATTTCTTTTCACAGAACAATGGACATGGAGCTTGGAATTCAAGATTCTTCTCTTTTGTAAAGAATTAAGCCTTAATCGTTTATAACAATGCTCTGGAGCTCTGATTTTTCTGCCAACCCAAAAAATCTAAAGGGCTGAACTCATGAGAACCAGATGTATCTGCACAATTTATCTATTGTTGTGTTTAAAGGCCTGCAGCTGGGCTGGTGCTGATGATTCCTCTACCACTCTTCTGCCTTGTGCTCACCAGGAGGAGTGGGTGGTGATATATCTGTAGATGAACGGATCCAAACCAGACGCTGCTGACGACATGTAGACATTGCCCCTTCCAAGTTGTCCAACCGAGACACCCTGCGCTCTCAGCACTTTCTGCTCCTCTTCAGCAGAACCTCTTTAGACGCTGTGATAAAGCGACCTGTGTGAGTCAGCGCTGCCGCCCTTCATGGTGGAGGAAGTGGCTCTTTTCAGAGAGTAAATCCAACCACAAAAAAAGACCAAGTATTTGCATGTTGATTCTTTAGTGATGTATAGCTGAGTCTATGAGCAGCTGAGAAGTAAAGAGATAGACTGTGGTGATGATGTCATGAGAGAAATCCTGCAGCTGCTCATGTGGACAGTAAATAATGGAAGGATAATGGTTCACAGGACTAAGTGCTGCTCTACATTAAAATATAACTCAACCTGGACTACAAGAAGTACTAGTCAAATAATTCACTCACTATTTCTGTCGATGAAACCAATCTCCTGTCACCTGATGATGACATCATCAGTCAGTGGCTTCAGCTTCTAATATCCACTTTGGGTTACACAGTCTCCAAAACTCACTAGAGTAGAAAATGGATGCAAAGGTCAGTTGGAACTTGTTGTTGGAGCTCATTTAACTCAGATTTATGATGCTTTAATATGTCAGGACTGTATCACTCCCCTCTCGGCTGGTTAACCTGTAATGCAGGCAACTGTCATACTCTCCGCCCACACCAGAGCAGGCATGGTGATTTTGTTTTTTCGAGACTGACTCTCCTGTCCAGGGTATTTTTCCGCAAGTTTCATGAGCACATGCATCACTCGTGGTGTGATGTACGCTCCTGGAGGACCACATGACGTGTTCAAAGGTGCCACCCATCTGTCACTTGAAAGCGCTCCGTCCTCAAAGCACAATAGAGACAGAGGTTATAAACAAATGGTACACAAAAGATGTGGGTCCGGTCAGACAGACTGGACGGAGCTTGTTGTTTCTGTGAGGATCCCCGCTGTGAAGTACGGCGGCCTTCACAGAGGGGACACCGGAGGGTGATGGGATTTTCACATGGCCACTCTGAAGCTGTGACTGTCCCTCTGCAGGTCTGACAGTTCTTCCCCTGTCAGATCAGTAGCCATGATTAACACAATGTTCGTATTATTGGTAAAAAATCAGCTGGCAGCAGAGCTCAGGCCCACTCAGCATTTAGTTGGAGATAAGAGGCCAAAGAGAGCGTTACAGTTAAGGTTCACTGATTGTTTCCATAAAAACAATTCTTTTAACTCGCAGCTCTACTGCTTTTATGATGGCTGCTAATCAAACTGCTGGTTTTGATTCTGATTGGGACGTTATCTATGGTCAGATTGCTTTACTTGGTAATGAAGAGCAGACTGAATAGTCAGAAATGAACATAGCTCATCAGAGAGTTAATCTTTTATTAATTTATCTTTGTGGTTTAAATATTTCTTCTATTCTTTATGGAATGAGGGTTTGGCATCAAAACTGAACTGAAGTTCAGAACATACCATTCACTTTATTGTGTTTATCTCTCTTTCAAAATCACCTTGAAACATTTAAAACAGTCAGGAAATCATCGCAGTGGACTGCTGCACCAGTTCCAGACCAGTTTAGTTTTATCTGCACCCTGCTCAAAGCATGGGGTAATTTTCCAGGGGCATAATAGTAACTCTGCACCCATTCAGACTCTGATCCTCGTGGGTGAAAGTTGAGTGTCCTGACTTCCCCCTCCACCCCCAGTGAGCCTCCAGATTCATGATAATGGCTCGATCCTCTGGAGATTGGAAGAACAATGGTCCGGTGCTCTGAGCCCGAGGACAAATATTGACACTGCTTTCATTCGAGGCAGAAATAACTCCACTGTTCATCCAGCTAATCAAGAAATGTCATATTTTTGGGGGGATTTTAACTATGACACTAATTTTGCAACACAAAACATGTGATATAAAATTGCACACAAGCCTGTTTTCTATATGTGCATTTAAATTTTGAGTTTTTAAAATATTTTTGTGTTTCTAAATCATTGAAAATGATTTATCAATTTACTGATGGAAACTAATTTGACAATACTCCAAACCACATCTGGGTTAAACAATAAAGTTTCCTAAAAAGATAATTATAATAGTTTTTTTTAACTTTTACTTCCTGTTAATATCATAGCACATCTTTACAGAGCTTTTTTTTTTAAACCATGTCACAAGCTGATTACATTGACAGAGTAACATTATCTCCGGGAGGCTGTTTCTGATCCTACATGTGGATTATCTATCATAACTCAACTCTGATTCTGCTGTCGTGTGACATGAGTTATTTCATTATCATGAACTCCAGCGGTCATCTCATCCCCCGCCTCTGTCTCCCTGTGAAGGTGTCCTCCCTCCTCTGTGCTGCTTGGAAGGTGAGACGTGAGGATCAAGGGGCTGCATGTTGATCCTAGCTCAGGAATGGAGAGCCTGCGTGTAAAAACGTTTGTCTGCAGACGGGTCCGGTCCTGCTGGAAGCTCCACGACTCCCACACACACTCCAACCTGTGCCCATTCACAGTTGAGTGCCATGTAAAACACATGGCGTGTCTCTGGATACACCATCATGGCCCCACTACAAATAAGATACATGTACATATGGGGCTATCACAGGCCGTAGAAGTTATTGCAGTGGACCCTGTTTGGCAAACAGATTTAGACACAGGATCCGGGTGTTCCCAGAGGAAGAGAGCTTGTTGTGGTCTGTAAATGTGTCTGCTCCAGAGACAGCATGACAACACCTGATCTGCTGCTCCCAGCGGAGCAGCCAGCAGTGCACGAGGTCAGCCATGTTAGCTATACCAGTTGCAAGGTCAAGGTCTGGACAACAGCTCACTATTGCCTTTGTCTGAGTGCTGGAGGTGCTGCAGATTCTCAGGGAAACTATACCTTTCCTTTCCACAGCTGGCTCGGAAACGTATCACTTACAGTGTGGTTAATATTTGAGGGAATCAGCCAGTCCAGGAGAACTGTACTGTTTAACATCAGGAAGGTTTGATTTGATTTGATTTTAAAAGACGTACAATGTTTGTGAATAGCAGTTTGTGAGTACTCACATTGTTTAATAAAATAAGTTTAGAGTCATTGTGAAGTCAGAACATCATTTACCTTTCAATTAGAATGTTTGCCTTTTTCAAATGTAATCAAAAAGTACATTGTATTTGACTGTGAGTGTGATGAACATTACTTTTACCTTTTGTCACAGATAAGGGACAGTGCAGATCGACCACAGCTGAATTCTTATGATGAATTTTGGTGGCACTTCTCTTTTGGTCGGCCTGAGTGCACGACAACAACTGGATGTAAAACATTGTTTCTACATGGATTTTTATATTAACTTAAGTGTAATTATGAAATTAAAATGAATAGATACATTGCATTTGTTAAATTGCTGAGTTTGGAGCACTAATGTTTGCCGTTTAAAAGTTTGCATATCATCCTAACTTATATAATATATTTGAAATAAAATCATTGTCATATGTGAATTTTATATCACTAAAACGGATTTTGTCACTTCAAAACACGTAACAGTTTGAGTTTCAGCAGTGCATCGTGTAAAACAAGGGAGAAACACGGCATTTAGCTGTTGCTGAAATAAAAACTGTAATCCAAGAGCACATTTTACAAAGACACAGATAGATTATTTTATTCTAGTACCATCTTCATCTGACTCTGATTTAACATGTCACAGCCTGCATATCCTTTACAGAATAATTGGTGACATGAGACTATATAAGTTTAATCATTTTAAGGTCGCTACTAAAGTGTCCTGGGGGAGTTTGAGGAATGTTTAAAGGAGTATAAGATAATGACACCAGAGGAACTATATGAATGCCTTTAAAATAAGGTCAGTGCGGACTATTCATCATCACAGACACACAGTAACTCACTTCAGCTCCCTGTGGGAATATCATTGGACTTTTGCAGAGCACCTTACAGTGAGATATCAATCCAACGCGCAGTGTTTCCGAGTGGCTGCGCTCTGGTCCCGGTGCAGGGAGCTTTCTTATGTTAATGCTGGTCTGACATCAGCAGTGAGATCAAAGCAGGGCAGGGGTACTTTAGAGCCGAGGCTGCCCCCACTCACACTCACTCACACTCACTCACTCACACTCCTCTGCTCTCAGCTCTCACACTCTCTCTCTCTCTCACACACACACCATGCGTACCTGTCCGGATCTACTCTACCACCCCGTGCTGGATTTTACTCATGCGTCAGGCTGACAACAACACTCTCAAAGGATATTTCACTCCTTTCTTTTCCCCCTCGTCGCTTTATTGAGCGCTGAGAAGTGACCGGCGCCGCAGCAAAGGTGAGTGGAAACTTGCTTGACTGCACGGAGGAGAAAGTCAGAGCGCGCAGGCTGCTGCTCCACTGGCAGTAGCCTGGTTTTTACGCACAATGGATGCGTTTCGAGTGCAGGGTTATTCAGTGAATGCAAAGCTGATTGCTTTGTTTGGAGACACGGTCCGTCTGCAGAGGTGTGACTGAAAAATAAATATGGAAAGAAATGTAACAAAGATCGCTCTAAGATAGGAGAAGTCGTGTGAACTTCCTTTAATTCAGTTTCCACTACATTACAATAATACCTTATTCTAACTTCATGTTTCTGTGAATACATTTTCCTCGGGTGATTCCGATCGGTTTTTAAAAGTATAAGGAGATTTATTTTCTGCAGAGTAACAGTATTATTAGGCTGCTTATAAATGATCCTTGTTAGTAACATCCGTGCTGATGTTTAGGAAGTGTGATGTGTCCTGGTTTATCCAGCTTATCTGTGGCTGATGACAGACTCACATCGGACGATGTGTGAGTCTGTCGCTCTCTATCTGGTCGGGGGAAACTGGAGCTGAAGACCAGTGTAAATTCAAGCACTAAAGGCCGCGACTTCTTTAAACAGATCTGACAGTAAAACTGTAGAAATGTTCAGGAAAACAATTTCAGCTCTATTATGAGTAAGTGTCTTTATTGTTTTTACGCACAGGTCAGACTTGTGTAGTGGGTGAAAAGCAGTTTAACACACAATAGTAAAGTGGTGGGTTTCAGTCAGCTCATTTCAATAATTAATAGCAGGGACTTAACACACTTTCGGGTGCGTCTCCTCCAATCAGCGCCGAGCTGATGAAAAGGCGCCTTATCTGCTCCCTGCGGTTTTTACGCGCTCTTCAAAGACGCACAGCTCGGAGCTGATCAGATATAGAGTCTGTGATGCTCTGCCCCTGTCCCCTGACTGCAGATTACTGCTGATCTCCCCTGATGCCTCTGACGCTTTACCTTTCTCCAAGGGGCGCAGAGGTGCCACCAACCGGGGCTGAAATAAAAGAGCTTGGATCGTGTTGAATAGGCCCCGAACGTGTTTGTCTCTATAGGATATAACAAGGCAAATAGTTCATCCAATGTGGAACTAACTATAACTGAAAAAGTTAAATAGGAAAGTAAGTATTGTGATGAGGATGTTACACGGATTAAGGATAGTCCTCTTATTATTTAGGATGTGACTTTGTCTTAAAGGTTACATAGCAATTGTCTTGTCTTCTCTTCCTATGTAGCAGGAAGTTGAACTTTATTATAATATTGTGAGTCAATTAACAAGGAACTACATCAACTATTAAAGAATTTCAGTCTTTTTTCTGTCAGTATTCAATGTGAGCAATAATCAGTAATGGTTGAAGGTGAATAAAATTATCCTCCTTTAATGTTGTTCTCATTCACTCTCCACATTCGCATTTGATTTGTTTTTAAATTATCTCTGCAACATCTAAACCTTGTGAAGTTTCAGAGCTCACTATGCCTCAGGATACATCAGCGCATCCAGTCAAAACACTCACAATCTGAAGCTGGGCCGCTGTTGCACAGCCAAAGTCACTGACAATGTTTATTGTATTTATTGCAGGGTTTAGAGGAGGAGGCCGTGCCATGAGCGCTGACTTTTGAGTCTGAACCGAGAAGCCGAACAAACCCTTTGTATTTTTTTCGTCTCGTGTGAACTGGAGCCACAGTCCAACCATGAGGAGCAGCTCTCATGTCCTGCCTCTCAGTGTGCTCACGGTTCTGCTGCTGTCTCAGGTCTGCTCTGGCATCAAATGGCTGTAAGTATTCTCACCATCGCCGCCATTTCCATTCATCCATTTCACAATGTGTTGTCCTGAAGATGCATTATGTTTGTGTGGCTCTTTGTTGTGTTTTATGGCGTGAAGGGCCCATGGCAGATTTGAAATGGGCCCCAATATTCAGGTTGCTTCTGGTTAAGGGGAAGTGTTGTGTACACGTCTATCTGATGGAGCAGACAGTAGATAACCAGGCAGTACTTCACCTTATGAATGTTTTACTCTTTGTTTTATTAACTTTGATGCAGCTTCAATAAAATAAATTGTTTCAGTCATAAGATCTCACGCTGAATTGACCTCCTGCTGTATAAACGTAAAAAGATGAGAACAGAAAATAAGACGACGAGGCGTCACGGTGCCGCAGACAGCGCCAGTGATGTCACTGCTCACTGTGTGCAGTCTGGTCAGGCCTCACATCCGTGTAAATATAGTGGCTGCAGAAGGAAGCTATGACACAAAGGTTGATTGCTCATACTGAACACCACACTGTTTTTATGGTGCAGCAAAAGTAAGCGATCATTTGCACAATAATTTTGGAAAGTACATAAGGTTGCCAAGTTGCTATTTTGGAATTTGTTTTTACTGAATGTTTGGTTTAGTATTCTCATAAACCCCTGGAGGTCTCCCTTACAATTGGCTTGTTCTGTTCTTTATTTCTTTATCAGATTTTTTGTGTCCGATCACTGTGAAAACACGACTTTCTTTACCTCAACCATGCATGGCGCCTCATCAGCGTGAGTGGTGCATGGAAGACTTAAGCAGATGTGCCATGAGCTCTGGGATGGCATGTGCTAAATCTAAGCGAGAAGTCTTACAGTTCGGATGATGCCGAAAAGCGCAATGCAAAGCAGATGCAGTTGTAAACACCTGTGAGTGCTGGGTTACCTCAAGCCCCGTGGAGTCACAGCTTATCGTTGGGCACAGAGTCGCGGCCCCTCGGCCCCTAATGCAAAACAGGCCAGGGTGCAGTGGTTCTCACGAACTCTCAGCAGAGTGCAGGACGCAGAAAGCAGAGATCAGAGCTAACCTGTTCGCCTTGTGGTTTCTCTATTAAGTTAATCCCCAATAAATTCTAACGGTTTGAATTAAGTCAAATGTGAGCAGCCTTTAATAGTGTAAACACATGATTCATGTCAAACTGAGGCCACAGAGCAAGATGCTTCCTGTGGTGGAAAACGTGAGACATCTATGTATTTTTTCATCTGCCTGTGGATCAAAACTTGGAGGGTTTTTATATATGTTTTTATCTTGAGGCCTCTTCTATGCTTTAACAAAAGAAAAGCCTTCTGCCAAGAAGGTGTCTCTGATATTTTATGAATCCACAGCTGATGTTCCCTTGGGATCTTCACTTTGATAAGATGGTTCTTTTCTGTGATTGAGGCCAAAATATTTCCCTGCCTGAAGCATTATCTGTTCCGAATCCTTCAGCGTTTGTCCGAAGCTGATGCGTCTCACAGGCTTGAAAAATGTGCACAGATGAAACTCAAATCACTAACACACCTTTGTAAATAAAACTCACAGCATGCGTTGGTATTCCCGTAAATGTAACAGTTTCACAACACATAAAGCGAAGAACATGTTATTAAGCAATTATCACCACTGCAAATAAGCAGACTACATATATTGTTTCACCCAAAATGACCTATTCCCCTGTGTTGTTATCTCTCCCCTCTTGTAGAGCACTGTCGCACGCTCCTACATCTTTACACATCAACCAGACCCAACACTGTAAGATGCTGCCCGGCCTTGTGTCCTCCCAAGCTCAGCTGTGCCGCAGCAACCTGGAGCTCATGCAGACCATCATCCAAGCTGCCCGTGAAGTCAAGAAAACGTGTCAGAAGACCTTTGCTGATATGCGTTGGAACTGCTCCTCCATCGATGTCCCCATCGATGCCCCAAAGTATCGTCCTGACCTCGACCGAGGTACAGTCATAAACAGATTGGAATGATAAACTATTGTTTCCAAAGAGCCATTCCAAGTTTTTTTTCTTCCAAAAGAGTCTGATGTTTATACTCACACTCAACATTCAGTGAATATCCAAAAGCAGGGTCACTGAGTACTGCTTTGCGGTTCAGTTTATAGTAAATGGTGTCTGTGCTCCGACGCCACAATCAATTTCTGATATTTATTAACACGACTGCTTTCTAAAGAATTTTGATACTTACAAAATCGTGTGCCTTTTCAAAAATTATTTCTGGTTTTACGATGACATCTGGCCTCATTGTTCCGTTTATTCCAACATTTATTCCTGAGGAGCCGTCACAGGGGATTTGTACTGAAACTGTTATTTGAGAATACCCCCTTTCACTACCTGCGTATATTCTGGGTGATTTAATAATTGGCTTGTTATTTCTGAAATATACAGCATCACTGTATCTGACCACACAGCTCTTTGCGCCGCAGTCTGGCTCTGTTGCCTTAAGGACCTTGAATGAGCTGGAGTCAGTTTGCTGGGGGAGCCGTGCAGAGAAATTACGTAGCTGCCTTTTGCCAAATGAACAGTCTCTGAACAGGAAATGGCTCATCTCTGTCCCGGCACAGCTTTGATCTAACCAGCCCTCGGTCATGCATGATTTTTTCCTTTACTTTGAATTGCTCCATGGCCTTTAACATATGTGCTTTCAGTGTAGCACATCACCCCCGATTAATTCGGGGCTCACTCTGCAATACAGCACGGCCACTGATGGACTGTGTTTGATTGATACACTTTGTGCAGGCAGTACGTTTTCTTTTGAGACAATAGAAAAGCTAAGGGGGAGATTTGTAAATACAATAGATGGACAGCAGGGAGGTAGATTCTTACCTCCTC